CATCAGGGACAAGATTGTTTTTGTCTTTAACTGACTATAGACCCCATCACTTCTGCTGACCTTTTGGTTTTTTACATAAACAGGTGGAGGGATGATGATGATGTTGATGATGATGATGATGGTATCTTGCATTTCTTACTGCGGGTTCGACCTCACATTCTGTTTCATTTTCAGCTGTGGCTTGTGAATATGAACAATAAAACCAAACTTTAATGTGATAAAACTCAACATCTGTTTAGTACCATATTTGCCATATGACACTGATATAATTGTATATATAATATTGTTCAAAACAGATACTGTCCTTATGCTTTACCTCATGTTATTACGACTTTTTGCGGGTTAAAAGCCTCTCTCACTGACAGACAAACTAACACATTTTTAAATTACACTGCAGAGTCTCATGTTTCTCTTTTTCCTCAACTCTCTCCAATGAAAAACACAAAAAGCAAAAAAAGGGAATATCTTGATGTGAAATCTTAGTTTACTGCTGATGATCAGAATTGTTTTGTGGCAGGAATCGGATGTTTTTAACCCACAAATGACCATAAATGCTCCTTCTTTCTTTCACAGCCTGAGTCATTTTTAATTAGAAACAGGAATTTACACATAGTGTATTTTATGCAGTAAAAGAGTGGAAAATTAAATATATACTTCACTCACAGTGATAAAATCGCAGAAGTTTTTAATAACAAATGTAATGCAATCCGTACAAAATAATACGTCAGAGTAATCAAAATCAGCATGATTTCCATAGCACAGAAACCCTGAATATATGTGTCTATTAATTATCTTATTAATTAATTATAATCTATTATTATTGTACAATATGGGGTGGGGTGAAAGGGTGATTTGACTTATAATTATGTCATTTATGGTGTAAATTGACACAAAGTTCAATTAAGGAACATGTAAGAACATGAAAGTTCAGCTACCAGCTGCAATGTGAAGAACTTACATTTTAATGACTACCAGCCGATCAAAATATATGATCAGAGAAATGAAATTCATGAGTAAAACTCCAAATTTATTTGGTGGAAGTGGTCTTAATAAAATGAAAGTCTGATGACATTTTCTATTCTAAACATTTGTGGAGTTACTCTAGAGAATACAAGAACCATTTTCTGTGATAAAGTGATTTATTACCCACACCCCACTCATCTTTAATGATCAAAAGAGCTCATTATATTTCAGCTTTCTTCATTGTCTTGTTAATCCAGTTGAGCTGGTGCTGTGTGAGAAAAGAGTACACCCCAGGTTTGTTCAGTTTCCCACACGCTCGGCCAAAAGATGTGACTCCAACCAGAGCTCCGTTACATATTAACGGCCCCCCTGAATCCCCCTGCAGAGAGGACAAACACACGTTGGTCATTTTCAGAGAATCATTTCATTTAATGTAAAAAAAAAAAAAAAGAGTCTGTTCATTTGTTATGTTACACTTACCGAGCAGGTATCTGCAACTTTATTACCGTCTGAACCAGCACAGATCATGCTCTTGGTGATAACAGGGTTGAAGTTATAATATTGAGGAGAGTTGCACGTTTTCCTGTCGATCACAGTCACATTGACAGACATCAGGACATCGGACATTTTTTTGGCTATGTTGTTCGTTGTCCCCCATCCAGCCACCAGACAGGTGGATTTAGCTGCTGGTTCTTTGATGGGATTCCTCAGCTGGAGAACTTTGACCCACTTGGTTTGTTTTGCTGGCTTGTCAAGCTGAAAATATATTTTAAAAAAGGATCACTATAAATGGATCGATTGTTTATGGCAACAAAAAAAAAACAACAGCTTTTGTATATATTGTTAATTTTAAAAAAAATCATACACAACAAAGTAGAACTGATCTCATTTTCTCTGCAAACAATGAGATATTTTCCATTTTTCAAGCAAAGTACATTTGAGAATGAGTTGCATTAGGGCACAAAAATTCTGATCCAACCCAGCCCCAGCCCACACTCATCATTTCTGAAACCCACAAGACCCAACGAATTAACAGTAATTACAGGTCGGAATCTGGAAAAAATCCTGACATTTTTAATTAGTTATTAAGGATCGGGGACGCGCGGCTGAATAAAAGGGGCAGAAGATCGGAGCTGAGGGGGTGTTTGTCCTTTCATGGCCATAAAAGAGCATTTAAACCCTGTTTCTGGCTGCATTCTGATTTATTCAGACATGGACCCTGCTCTGACATGTCTGATTTGGGATCTCACCTGTTTGGATCATCGGCCGCACGCGTTCGCTGAGTGCAGCGGCTGAATGAACGTCCATTTGGGCGATGGATCGCTTCCTAGCAGTATAGTCTCACCTGAAGCTTAACTAAACTTTTTACCTCTTTCAAGGCCGGTCAGCTCGTGGTGAAATGGCTGTGGGTGGCTAGTGAATGTAAGGCAGGCCATGTTATCATATAATTGGATCACGGCTGATCCACTGACCCAATCAATAGCCCGACACCGACCTGGCCCACTCATCCACCACATTATCACGGCACTGCCCACCCCGAATTCGTGTCGGGTGGGGCCAGGCTTAGGGCTCGGGTTAGAAATGACAGCTCTGGCTGGGAAACATGCCATGAGCTACTACCTACAGCAAATTTTTGTCCAATAAAAAAATTAATTAGTAATCAGGAGCAGAGCTGAAAAGGCTAGAATACATCCATCCATCCATCCATCAGTTATCTTCCACTTATTCTGAAGTTGGATCGAGGGGTCAGCATCTTGAGCAGGGAGGCCCAGACATCTCTTTCCACAGCCACCTCTTCCAGCTCTTCTGGGAGGATTCCAAGGTGTTCCCAGACCAACCAAGTGACATAGTCTCTCCAGCGTGTCCTGGGTCTTCCCTGGGATCTCCTCCCAGCCGGACATGTCCGAAGCACCTCCCTAGGGAGGCGCCGAGAACGCATCCTTGCTAGCTGCTCGAACCACCTCAACTGGCTCCTCTCGATGTGGAGGAGCAGCCATTCTACTCCGAGTCTCTCCCGGATAATTGAACTCCTCACACATCATCTGCAAAGAGCAGCGGTGGAATCCTAAGGCCACCAAACTGGAAACCCTCTGTCCATAAGTTCTGAACAGAATTGGTGACAATGGGCAGCCCTGGTGGAGTCCAACTTCCACACTGAAGGGGAGGCTAAGTTTATTTATTTATTTATTTTTCATATACATACATATAT